ACACTCGCGCGCGCGCAAGATATTTATATATATATATATATATATATATATATATGCCACATATAGCAGTTGGTGTCGTATTCATTCCTAATTGCCTCATTATTAATCTATTTACTTTATCTTTTTGCCGTGTGGCATCCATTCAACCAGAAAATAAATAAGCCCAGCCTTAGAGCATAGTGTTATCAAAACTGGAACTACTCATAACAGCAGTTAGAACACTGAACACGCTCATGTCCAAATTGATCCAATAAATAAATAAGTTAACCAGTCAAACCACATAACCTGTAGACAATAAGTTGGCCAAATAAATGAATAGCATATCTAAATACCGATTATCTTACGCACCTTTCGCTTCTTGCTACTATGTTTCTTTGCATCTTTGTCCTTATCTGAATAACAATTAAAACAGCAAAACGGGAAGTTGTCAACTGAAATGAATTAACAAAAAAAAAAAGGAGGATAAAGAAGCTACCGTTCATTCTATACATTACCCTTTCTGCGGCTGGATTTACTGCTGGAGTGATTTTTCCCATGTGCAAGTTTTCGTGCCCTTTCAGCATCTAGCTGAGCCCTATACTCTCTCATCATCCTGTCTTTATCTGCTTCCAACTCTCCCTTTCTCATTTCTTCTTCCTAGCAATTACATCATTAGAGTCCGACATATCTATGCTGCACTGCATATGCAGGAAAATCGAACCTAATAAAAAGTGCCACTAACATGAAATTCATGTGCAACTTGTTGAAAGAATCCACAAGTTAATCACTAACCACATATTTCCGGGAGGGAAAAAAAAAACACTTGACCTTGGGCTGGACACAAAACTTGTTATTAAGAATTAGTAATGTCCAAATTCAAATCCGGGTTTAGGAAAAATAAATCAAAACCCAACCTTAATATTTAACTCTTATTTGTCTATGTTAAATAAAATGACACCTTTCAGCACTTACCACATATTTACAAAATGACCACAAAAGTATATTGCACTTTCGAAACATTAAAACAGAAAAAAA